CCCGTCTATCACCAACATAGGCCAATCAGCTAACCAGTATTTTTGCACCTTCCTAAAATTACTTCAACCGAAGGTTTCCAGAAGGATATGCGGAACAAATCCATCTGGCGGAGTCAGGTTATTCCTTCACGCCCCTCTCAAGGAAATCTTTCAAGGAAATGTTTTACAAGAACAGGCAGGGCTAACATACCTAGAATGCCACAAAGAGAGACATATAGGAGACAATAGGTCAGAGTCTTCCAGTGATTTTCACACTGTTGTTTCCTTGAGGAGTAAAATAAACTTTTTTTGCAGAAAAAAACATGTACGAAGTCCATCAGACACATCCTTCCACGTATGACAGCCATCGCTCCACCTCATCAGTAGGCATGTTTATACCGCCACAGACCATGCAGAGAATGGGTTCCTCCTTTTCTAATGTGGCACATACCGAGCCGGGCGGTTCAACCTTCCCCACCATGATGAACAGAACCAATCTACCGGTTAGTAAAGACAAATATACATTTATGGAGATTTCTCTCTAAAAAACTGCTGGTTTTCTAACTTGTCTTTTTGTTTTCCTCCAAAGATGAGGTCCCTCAGGCCAAACACCCGCGCATCCTATGACGCATAGACACAGATCTCCTTGATGAAGAAACGGACATTTTTTCATGTTGTACCTTTTATTTGTCTCTGTACATATATTTAGCTGCTATATTGTAGATGTTTATTATATAATTTGTTTTGCTAGATTTCTCAGGTATTAGTTGTTGAAAATATGACATTTGAGTCATATCATATTTGATACCTTAAACATGTGCCCATAGCAAATTTTTCAACCTATTAGACATATTAAGGTAACATATCCTGCCATTAGAAAGAAAGATCAGCCCATCAGACGCAATTCTTTAAGTCTGAATATTCCTTCATTTAGAAATTTAAAGGTGATAGCTACAAGTTTAACTCCTCCTGGCCAGGAGGGGGCGCCCTCAAACTCACCGGCTCTTGTTCCGTACTGTTTCTCAGCCTGTTTCCAGGTCCGCTAATGCTAGCCAACATTAGCATTAGCTATTGTTTTAACTAATAGCACTATTAGCTAGATTTTATCCTTATTCAACATTAGTCATTAGCATTAGCTACTGTTTAACATTAACTTATAACAATAGCATTAGCAAAGATTGAACATAAGCAACACATCTTTGTTCATTCTGAGTTTCTTGTTAAATTGGCACCAAAGCTCCAAAGTTTGACCAATATTCTCTTTCATTTTGCTCTTTTTTTTCCACCATTGATTTACAAAAATATCTGTTAAAAGAAAATATTTCTTGGCTCCATTATGAAGCTATTTGGATCTGGCAACCACTGGCTTCATAACCAATAATAAATATATATTGTGAACTCAACAAAATTTCTAAAACAATTATATTTCTTCCAGTTTCAATGCAGTAAACAGTTGAATGTAGTTTTTAATGATGCATAAAAGCTTAGCATAAATACAATCCACTTGATTCACAGATAGCACAGCTTAATCTACCTGATTTGAATAGAGCTGAAATAGATCAATTTGAATTCAACTTCTTTTCATCTTAATCCAGATGTACACAGTGCGTCCTGACCACATCATCATCACACAGGAAAAGGTTACAATACGTAGTTTAACGTAGGGAACAGGTTGCACTCAATCTTTACTTCAGTTTCACTTATTAAGGTTGGATAATGGGGCACATTATTCAAACTTTAAAGAGCTTTAAAAATACTCCATAATACACACAATTATTACCAGTTTTCTCTGCAGGATAGTGGTTAAAAAGCGTTGCCTCTACCTGGGTTTGGTCAGTGAATTCAATTGGTTGATTAGCACTTTAAAAAGCAACTAGAGAGGCTTTATTTGCACAATGAGCAGCAAGAGAACAATTCACAGTTTTACTGTGAACATTTAGATTTGAAAATATAGTGAAGAACGTTTATTAACTTATTTAAGATCTATGCAACAAATATTTTTTTAAATGTACAATGGTTGTAATTTTTAGCCTTTGAAGAGCAAAATCTGAGGCAAAATGAAGAATAAAATTGTTGTGATTATGCACATGCTGTCTGAGCTTTTCAATGCTTTTCGTCTTGCTTCATTTTGATGCTAACTATAATCACATGGAGATCAGAGTTTACTCCAAGGCCGACAATGCTAATGTTAGCTTAAAAAAATGGTGAGTTCATATAGGACAAAAAATTTATCTGACACACCAAGGGATTTTCAAACACCTGTAGACCACAAAGCATTTAAAATATCTTTTAAATAATTTTCATCAGATTGTGATAGCAGAGAATGCTGAGTTATTTTATCTCATGCTAAATCTTGGACCCAAGCTTCTGCATTGAACAGAATTTTTTAAGGCTGTTTCCATAGTTCTGTGTTAGGGATATAGAGACAGCCTGGGTTGTGTGGTGCGGACATAGATAGAAATCAGATGCGCCTTCTGCAGCTTTTAAACGCAGGCTTGTGTCTCTCCACTGTGCTTCACTGGTCTTAACCAATGACAAATGATTTACCCATGATAAGCGGTACATTTCTTACATCTGTGTAGAAAGCATAACAGTAACTGCCGCTAACGAACCCCCCTGTGTACATAATTTGTGTAGCCATTATAGTGATGTCTTGTTTCAGAAACTGTTTTGCAAACTTTTCATCTGGGGTTAAGCACAAATTCATAGTGGTCTACTGTTCAACTAACAGAGTTTCATCCTGTGGATCTGACAATGTGCTTCTAGCATAGTGCATATAAACACAAGTAGATTTTGTTGAAACACTATTTATATGTTCCACACATTCGGCCTTCATGCCCCCCTGTTTGGGAAAAATTGCTTAATTTTCCCATCAATTCCCATCCTAACAGATTAATGTGGTGAGTTGGTGATATTACTACAGAAACATAGAACCTTGCAATCTTTTTCCTGTTTGAAGGTTTTCCATTTGACCATTTGCTGATTTTACAAAAACTAGCATTTTAGATGGTTTTAGTCCTACATTATCTTGAATGCAAATTTTACAGGCTCCTGAATCGCTTGTCTAATAATTGTTAGAACTATTCATGTTTTTTCCTTTAATGCATATAATATCCCCCATGCTTCATACACTACTATTTTATTGGTTATTCTTATTTGCTCTAGCACTTAGTCGCACCTCAGATGAAGAACTGCCCTGTGGACTCTTCCTTCCTAGTCTGCTTTTACTGGTTTTGGGCTTAAAACCCCCTTCAAGTTCTAGAACCGCCCCTGCATCCTTGATTCCTTTTGAAATTTCACATGCTTTGTTAGTGCAACAATCTCTGCAGTTTACTTAGAATATGATGATTTTAAGGCAGCACTGCAAAATGTTTTTTTTTTTTAACTCATCTACAATTGTAAAAACAACTAATTTCTTTCTGGAAACTGACTCATCCACGTACAAATGTTATAACCCCTCCTGTGGTTCATCTTTTCCCCTGGGTGGTTAGATCCAGGTAGTGAAATGTTTTTGGGGATGAGCCTGAATGTATCACATGTATGTCAGCTGCTTTTAGCTCTGGAGTCCTGATAATGGATTCCTGACATTTTACCCATGACTGAACTATCAGTCACTAGGTGGATTTGAGTCTTTTTGTTTTTAGTTTCCCAATCCTGAGCATGCAAAGCATACTCCATCAATGTGTTAAAATTTGCAGTTTTCCATCCAACCAAATGTTTTTCCAAATGACCTCTAATTTCTGGACGGAGATTTAGTAAGTACGGGAGGTTGTCTCCACAGACGTTGGGCTGCCTCACAGACCGCATTAACCTGTCTTTCTAGGTCCCCATGCCCCGGAGGCAAAATTTCAGCTGGATTTCCTCCATGCCCAGTATATTGTTTCCTCACTTCAGCCCAATTATGGCCCAAACTACACTTCATAGCTTTTTCTATGTTTAACTTGCCCAATCCACTTATTTAACCTCTCTAATTTTTTTATTCCCTGTATGTAGCTTGCATGACTAAAATAATTTTCTGGTGGGTTATTTATTTATTTTATTTTTTTAATTAAACCTGCAAACGCATTAGGAAGGCTGTCTGCTAGATCAACGCTGCAGTCATTGATCCACAGACATACTCCCCCGCTGCTGCAAATTCAAGCTGTCTCCCTCTAAACTGTGTTTCATTAGCTTTTGGACGCACAAACAACTTAAAAAACCCACAAACATAACATTTAAAGACGGAAAAACACAACATTAGATCTATTTATTTAGATTTTCATAGTATCTACTTTGTGCATGTCTCATACCTACACCTCGCCATTTGGAGCTCATCTATTTATTTATCTATCTTTTTATTTACCGTATTTTCACGACTATAAGGTAGGGTGACCAAACGTCCGTATTTCCCAGGACATGTTCGTATTTCACGTCCTGTCCTGGGCGTCCCGGGTTTTTTTTAGAAAGTGAGGAAATATCCTGTTTTTTTAAATTACCTTCATTGGACCATTAAATTTACAGACCCTAGGGCCCTGCGCACGACGCTGCGTGTGACGTAATCCCTGA